CATTACTCTGTTTAATTTCTCGAAACACTTTGTAATTTTCGTACCTTCTGTCACAGTGTCATGTCCATCTTTTGATTTTATGCGTTAGTAAGTTGGACTTTTACTAGGTATTTAATCGCTTTTACAGCTCCGACAACCAATTATCTAGGAGAAAGTAAACAAAAAGAGAGGTGAGACAGTTTTGTGACCTAATCGAAGGAAGAGTCAGTGTACGACGGGACGGGAAAACACACAAGACACACAGTACGAGACAAATGCAGACGTAGTCCTAATTGTCCTAATGTGACACCACACAAGTCCTAACGGGACGTCCTTCCTGTGCTTGTCTACCAGCCGGTTTGCGGGAGCGGTAAGCACAAGCGAGGGGACGTAGGAGGCGACGGGCTGTGGTAGCTGGCGACGTCTCGCAGGTCCTGTAGCGCGTCGTTTTTTGGGTGTCGCATGCAGGAGGTCGGTAGGAGGCAACAAAACGGATAATATTGAGAAACCCCGAGTTGTCTTAGTCATTAGTTTTATGTCTTAACATATATTCATATAAAGTAGTGAAAACTTGTCGTATAAGCTAGTAGGACGTCCGGTTCAGACTGTAGTGTGAAGTTGATCACTTATAATCTATATTATTCATGGTAAATTGATCACATCTATTCTGTATCCTATCGTTTCACGGTGCGTCTTGTTTTTCTTCACGTCGCCGTTGTTATGTACACTGCTCTTTCGATAGGCAACGTTCACTGTTTGTTGTAACTTTCTCTAGATATTGGTGCGGGCTGTAAAGCGATAAAGACTAGTAAAGTCCAATTATCCTAATTACACTTCTAAACAAAAACAAAAAGTGCGAGTACTGGATGTAAATTGAAACCAGAGATCGTCAATTTCACCACACATTACGAATGGTGAATGGTGGTTGGAAATTAACATCCCTGTTTCAAACTCTTATCAGTTATTGAATTATGAGGACTATACTGAAATTTACAACCCGTCGGACATTAATATCACATGCGAGTAAATTGAGCAGCACCTCTTTTCACCCTCTGTTGGAAACCAGAGCCCTGTCTGCTCTGATTGGTTAGCTGACCGGCTCTGTTGTGATTGGTCAACCGCTTAGACATGTCCCGCCCCCTAACCTATCACGTACAATGTGTTGGAGTGCTAGTCAATAAAAGTGTGATTGTGACAGAGAGATGTCACTATGTTACGGAAGTAAACAAAGGAGTCCAGGAGCCTTAGCAGACCATTTACATGTTAATCTGCATAATGCACTACAGGGAAGGGAAAACCCCAACAAGCATAATAGGGCCTCTTTAAAATAACTCAGTGTTTGGGCAGACAGGTGTTTGGCACGTTTATTCCAGATCTGTGGAGCATCGAAACTAAAAGCTCTTCCTTAAAGGTGGGGTAGGTAAGTTTGAGAAACCGGCTCGAGATACACTTTTTGTTATATTCCATGGAATGCTCTTAACATCCCGAAAGCAATGAATATCTGAAGTGCTTTGACAACAAATCCATAAAACAATGTCATCTGTGGAAGCCGTGGTGCTGTAAAAAGCTCGACCAATCATCTGAGCCGGCCCGGCTAAAATAACTGGATGGCCTACCTGCCTGTCAGCCTTCCATCTGTGCACAAACTTATCTCGTGCCCTCATTGGTCATGTGCGCGTTCGTGTGTGTTGGAGGAGGGGCTCTGTAAGGAAGGGCAGATTTTTTCCGGTTGTGTATTTTCAAATTCTAGCACACTCGAGCTGGTTTCTCCAAAATGACATACCCCACCTTTAAGTTTTCATCTAAAGGGCCATCAACTTCCAAACATCCAATTTGTCCAAAACGTTGGTTTATGACCAAATACCAGCTAACTTCAGATGGTGAACATGGTAAGCATTAGCATGTTCAACATCTTCTTTGTGAGCATGTTAGCATGTTAGCAGATATTGAAGTGACTGTTATTATATTGATTGTTGTGTTTCATCTTAATGTGTGCATATGTGTAAATGTGTCTGTTGAATGTATAGGATATACATATTTATACATATTTTGTATTTGGGATTGTTGGAAACGTTATTTCGATCTCTCTGTCTGTACAAACACAAAAAAAATTTGACATTAAAGTTGACTTTGACTAATGTTTGCATTTAGCTCTAATTAACGAAGTGATTTAGCCGCATTACAAAGCTGCAAGAGTGGCTTTAGTCTAAGTCTTGTTTTGTGGTAAAAAACACCTTGTAAATTCAGTTCTCTATCAATGTGTATGGGTAAGAACATCCTTGGCAACTCTCAACAATTTATGCTGCTGTAAATAAAAAGCAACTTCGATGTGGAGGTCTTGTAAATGCTGTATATATTTGAAATGCCAAACTAAATGCTTTAATTCCGGGAGGCCAAACATTTCCAGAGATAAACAGGAAGCCAGGTTACCTTGGACATACTTGTTTAACACTGTGCTATGTGTCATAACTTGAAAGATTGTACAGGAAGTTTTCCACACCAAGTATTTTGTGAAGTTTAAGACAGATGACATAAAAACGACATCAATTGTGAGCAAACGCTGTCTGTCTGTGACAATCCCGAACCATCCAGACCACGTTATCGTTAATAACCGGAGACTCATCCTTCAGTTTGACCGTGAGGATGTCTTGGATGACAGCTGAAACATCTCAAAGTCCTTCTTACTCTGGATATTGCACTTTTGGATAAGAATTATTTTCATCTCAGTAAGCAAAGCAGACTGGTTCCCAAAAGACCGACAACCACGACTCCAATCTTGCATAAAATCTGCTGCATCCGTGCATCTCTCTCAGGACGGATCTCGGCACAAACACTTTCATGGTTTGGGGTTCCCCCTTGGGCCGACAGCGCTCAGTAACGTATGCATTCAAGGCGCCGCTTTGGGAGAAATCATCCGACAAATGGCAGGTGTTGCATCACTGTTCCATTTCTTCAGTTTGTTATGTATTTACTTTTCTGTCAGTGAACACGTCTGTGACTTTAATTGACGGTACTGTATAAATAGAAAGTTATTATACTGTCTAATATGAATGGTACTATGAATTATTAATATTCTTTTTAGTAGTATCGTAGTAGAGCTTTAAAAAGGTCCTACTTCAGTAGGTTTTCACAGAAGATAAAATAACCAGCATGATGATGTTTGTCAAATAAATACATGTTTCTTTTACTTGCTTTTTAAATGGAGTACTAGAGCCACTGAAGGGTTGTTAATCAGATGTTTGTTTGCCCATCTCAGCATGTGTTTCCATAGACTGTACAGAAAGAAGCTAATGAGAATATGAAATGGTATTTGTGAATAGCTAACGGGGTATTTGTTCTATCCGCGTCCCTCTGTGTAGAAGTGTCACTAAATGACCCTACGTACAATAGATTGCTCTTATAAATGTTTAATCGTGTCACGCTGATTAAATGATTTAACATTTATCAGGTATTTCTTGATTGAAATTCAAGATGTCAACATTGATTCAGGTGAAGCTTTCCGTTTTTCATTCCAAACAGTGCAAAATCAGTAGACTGGAGCGAGTTAGGTGATTCATCTCTGACAGGAAATTTGAGAGCGTATTGGCAATTAACCAAATTGAAGGAGTGACAATTCAGCAATACATCGTGAGGTCTTGTGTTGTCTCTCCTTCACTTTGGTAACCACGAGTTGTTGTATCTACATAAGCTATGACAGACTTTCACTGTTTATCGAATATCTGCCAGTCAATGTATGAAATGCTGGCCAGAGTTAATCTGAAACTGCCAGTAAGAGTTATTGGATTGTTTGACGATGGAATTATTGCATGTCTTAACTTGTCGGTCATTTAGCTGATTCTCAAAAAGGAAATCAAGCTCGATGAATGAGCAGAAAAAGGAAGTCCAGTCTCAGCCAAGGACACATTTACTGGACCCTGGTTAGAGAAGGCCTCAAATACACTTTAGTAACTGTGCACCTGTGACTCACACAGAGAAGTAAATCAGCCACTAGAATTGGACCTTACTGCTGTGAGACTTATTTGAGCCTAGAGTCCTTAATAAATTGCTCTTAGGACAAGCATGTTGGCAACACTATTCTCAATTCAAAGGTTTGGATAACCTTTGAATTTTGGTAACTCGCTTATTATTTTCTTTACGAATTGTTTTATGTAGAGACTAAAAACCAACGTTACATCTTCAAATTGCTGGTTAGTGCAGCACATATTCCAATCTCAAACCTAAGGATGTTTTAGTTTACTATTACTTCATAGAAAAAGCAAGAAATCCTCACTGGAGAGAATGAAACTATAAATTGTTTA